AGAGAGTGAGCTGTGGTCTTAGTGAGCAGTTCACATGGTGAAGTAGTGGGAGACAAGGTTGAAAACAATTTTGGACTGAGATTAGGAAGGACCTTTGATGGCAGGTGAAAGAAATTGGACTTTAGACAGTTGAGTGGCCAAAGGATTCTGAGCATAGATATAACTTTCATTCATCAAATATTTAATGAGTTCCTCCTGTGTGCTAGGCACTGTTCTAGGGGATGAGGATATAGTGATGAACAAAGTCCCTAGCCTCACAGAACCTGCAGCCTAATGGGAAGAGACAGTGGACACCTAAATACAGTGTCAATTTGTGGCAAGTGCTATGAAGACATACAAAGCAGCAGAGTAAGATGGAAACTTTGGGGGGTGGGGATGAGAAGCAGCAGGAAAGTATTTTCCTCAGAGCTAGGGCAAAAGGTGAAAGTGGAGCAGAGACCCCAACCAGGCTAATATCTGAGTTCCCCAGGCAGAGGGAACAGCTGATGCAAAGGGTCTGAGTCAGGAGTGCACTTAGACGGGTCAGGGGACAGGAGGGTTGGTCTGCTAGGAGATGATGTCAGGCAGCCAGGGGTGGGTGATTCAGGGTTTCAGGGGACTTGGATTTAGGTCTAGAGTACGATGGGAAGTCACTGATGGATGGGGGAGTGATATGACAGGTTTATATTTTAAAAGGACCACTCTGGATGCCATGTGACAGGTGGGAGTAGAAGCAGGAGACTGGTTCGGAGGCTGCTACAGGAAGTGATGTATGGAGATGACTATGAAAGTGGTGGTGGGGGAGATGGGGGTAGGAACCAGGACACCCCCCCTTCCATCTCTGACAAAAACCCTCAACCTTCACCAAGCTCAAGGGTTCGGATCCCCTTATTGGCCAGCCATCAAAAACACCCCCTAGGGCCGGCCCGTGGCTCACTCGGGAGAGTGTGGTGCTGATAACACCAAGGCCACGGGTTCGGATCCCATATAGGGATGGCCGGTTGCTCACTGGCTGAGCATGGTGCTGACAACACCAAGTCAAGGGTTAAGATCCCCTTACCGGTCATCTTTTTAAAAAAAAAACACCCCCTAAATCCTCTTTTCCATTTCCTTTCCTCATTATGCCCCTGCTGACTCCCACTCCCCACTTCTCTCGCCCTTCTCTTGGCCTTGTCCCCTTCTCCTGACTTTGCATACTAATTCCCTCTGCTCCTGCCCCTTATTGCACCTGCTTTTCTACTCCTAACTTTCCAAAATTACCTTTTCTGGGTAACTAGGTTGGGGGGGGTGTCTCTGGGTGACCCCTTATCCTCTCACTCAGGTGGTTGTGGCAACAAATATCGCTGAGACATCGCTCACCATCGAGGGCATCATTTACGTGCTGGATCCAGGGTTCTGTAAGCAGAAGAGCTACAACCCCCGCACAGGCATGGAATCCCTCACTGTCACACCCTGTAGCAAGGTCAGCCCAGGTCTCCATGGGGGTGGGGAGAGGCAGACTTGTCCCACAGGGAAGGTCCAGTCAGGAGCAGGGTGGTGACTTCTTAGAGGATGGGGGATAAGCAGTTTTCATCACCTAGATTTCCTGTATAAATACTGCCCTTTCTTTTCCCTGACCAGACTGTCAGCCAGCCTCCTCTCCTTTTTTTCCAGGCCTCAGCCAATCAGCGAGCTGGCCGGGCAGGGCGGGTAGCTGCAGGGAAGTGCTTCCGCCTGTATACTGCCTGGGCCTATCAGCACGAGCTTGAGGAAACCACGGTGCCTGAGATCCAGAGGACCAGCCTGGGCAATGTTGTGTTGCTGCTCAAGAGCTTAGGTGATTGGGCTACCTGAGTCCTGAGTGTAGCAAGGTGGGGCCTGGAGTCACTGGCCCTTGTGAAGGGCCTCTATCCTCTCTCTCACACCTTTCTCTAGGGATCCATGACCTAATGCACTTCGATTTTCTGGACCCTCCACCCTATGAGACCCTGCTGCTGGCTTTGGAGCAGCTGTACGCTCTGGGAGCCCTCAACCACCTCGGGGAGCTCACCACGGTGAGATGGGAGAGCAGCATGGGCCAGAACAGGATGAAAGGGTCGAGGTGGCTCCAGGGATCTCTGTAGTGGTGGAGGGAAACCTGAGGGAGGACTGGCCTAAACTTCAACTCTTCATGTCTCCTCTTTTTAGTCTGGTCGAAAGATGGCAGAGCTGCCGGTGGACCCCATGCTATCTAAAATGATCTTGGCCTCTGAGAAGTAAGCCCTTCTACCTTTCCTAGGTTCCCAGCTCAGAAGTTGGCCATGCCTGCTCTGTTCGTGGGCCATCTTTATCTGTTTCTCTTTTTCTCTCCATAATGTTATTCTTCAACAAATAGTAAGTTAGAGAACTCTTATTGCCCCTTTTGAGGGCCACGAGGGTCAGTAAGGGACTTGATCCTGTCCTTGATCATATTAAATGGGTGAGATTGACAGAAAATTTGGAGGCATGAACAAAAGTGGAAGATTTTCCATCTGTGAGGGGTGTTGAGTGAGGGCTGGTTTTGGAACTTAATTTTTCTTAAAGTTTCAGATTGGAACAGTTAGATGTAGCTTTGGAGGGACCATTTTTAAATGCCATTCCTCTGCTGTGGTTGAGGTCAGAGGTCTCTCCCTGATGCACATATTGCACCTTCATACTGCAGAACCCTCAGAAGTCCCCAGTGCTTCCTACCCCTTCCTCCATGGATATCCGTCCTGTGCAAATGTTTCATCTATGCCCCACCTCCTTGACACCCATGCTGCTGCTGCCCACAGAATCTCCATGTTGTCTAATTTGTAGCCACTATATCAACCAGCCTTCCCCACGTGAAGAAACTTGCCCACCGTGTCTGTCCTTACGTGTCTTGCTTTGAACTCTCATTCTTTTCCTTTCCCCCTCCCCAGGTACAGCTGTTCAGAGGAGATCCTGACAGTGGCTGCCATGCTTTCTGTCAATAACTCTATCTTCTACCGACCCAAAGACAAGGTCGTCCATGCCGACAATGCCCGCGTCAACTTTTTCCTGCCTGGTGGGGACCACCTGGTTCTGTTAAACGTTTATACACAGGTCACTGGGCTTGGGTGAGTGGGTATGAGGGAGACATGAGGCACTCTAGTCCTGCTGTATACTTAAGTGTCCCCCTCTGCCCTTCTTTTAAACCTTCTTCACAGTGGGCTGAGAGTGGTTACTCTTCCCAGTGGTGCTATGAGAACTTCATACAGTTCAGATCAATGCGCCGAGCCCGGGATGTGCGGGAACAGCTGGAGGGACTCTTGGAACGTGTGGAAGTTGGTCTCAGTTCCTGCCAGGGGGACTATATCCGTGTACGCAAGGTCAGCATTTCTTCAGTCTACTGCTGTCTGTCCCCCTGGTGCCTCCCAAGGAGCAAGCTTCTCCTGGGGACATGCAGCAGTCCCTCCCACCCCTGAACATGCCCTCTTCCCCTTGTGGAAGATGTGTTATCCTGGGGCTCTTTCTTTCCCAGAACACTGAAGGTTTGTTCTCAGTGGGTTCTTCATGCATTCCTCACCTTTCTAGTTCTCCAGAAGTCTAAACTAAAAAGGTAGTGAGCACTGAGGGTCCCTGAATGTCTGCTTCTCCCATTGACATTCTTTCCTGCATGCTCTTTAGGCCATCACTGCTGGATACTTTTACCACACGGCACGGTTGACTCGTAGCGGCTATCGCACAGTGAAACAGCAGCAGACAGTGTTCATTCATCCCAACTCTTCCCTCTTTGAGCAACAGCCACGCTGGCTGCTCTACCATGAACTTGTCTTGACCACCAAGGAGTTCATGAGACAGGTGAGGGGACCATCATCTGCCCAGACAAGGGCAGATTGTGTGGGGTGATGGTATCCTAGCAAGCTAAGAACCAAGGTTTAAGTTCTTGGCACAAGAAAGAAGCAAGTATATTGATTTAAGGTAGGATAAGATAGAAAGGCACTTTTTTTTTTTTTGTCTTTTGTCTTTTTCCGTGTCTGGCAACGGATCGCAACCCTTAGTGTTGCCCCCGTATCGGGCCGGGGACCCTTAGTGTTGCCCCCGTATGGCGGGAGCGCCGCCGCACTTCCCAAACGGCGCACTATCCAGTGCGCCACCGGGCCGGCCCCGGCACTTTTTTTTTTTTAAAAAAGATGACCGGTAAGGTGATCTTAACCCTTGACTTGGTGTTGTCAGCCCCATGCTCACCCATTGAGCTAACCAGCCATCCCTATATGGGATCTGAATCTGTGGCTTTGGTGTTATCAGTACCACACTCTCCCGGGTGAGCCACGGACCAGCCCGAAAGGCACTTTTTATCAGCTGTCTCAGCATCGTTCTAAGATCTGAGAACTATACATTCATTAAATATTTGAATGCCTACTATCTCAGTGTTTTAGGTACTGGGGCTAGAATGGTGAAAAAAGCAGATGAAGTCGCTCTTCATAGTGTACTTTACGTTCCAGGCTTTATTCAGGGATAGCTTACCTGATACCTTGAATAACATATAGAGGTATGTCTGCCTTTTGGTTATATGATAGAGCCAGACATCTTCCCTAGCCCTGAAGTCGAAGGGGATTTCTTTGACCACACACATAAGAATCTAGGTTGGAGGGGCTGGCTAGTCAGCTTAACTAGTTAGAGCACAACCTTGTAACACCAAGGTCAAGGATTTGGATCCCCATACTGGCCAGCTGCCAAAAAAAAAAAAAAAAAAAAAAAAAATCTAGGTTGAAAAAAGGGAACCCTACTAATCTTTTCTTTCCCCTTCTAGGTATTGGAGATTGAGAGCAGTTGGCTTCTGGAGGTGGCTCCCCACTATTATAAGGCCAAGGAGCTAGAAGATCCCCATGCTAAGAAAATGCCCAAAAAAATAGGTAAAACACGAGAAGAGCTAGGGTAAGAGAAGGGGACATAAACAGAACCTGACACTAGCTCCTTTTTTCCCTATATGTTATTTAATATCTGTGAAATAAAATTATTTTTGGAATAAAGCTTGTGAGAACTTTTGGGATCCAGAGAAAATGACATGAAATTCTATCTCATGTAGTCACTTAAACTTTATTATTTACAAGTTAAATTACACAGCAGCTTTACACAGCATGAGATGGAAAGGAAGGAAGGAGAGAAAAGAGGGGAGGAAGCTGGCTCCTGAGATTCTTAGCCGCCTCCACCTCCTCCTCTTGTGCGTAGCAAAGTCTTCAGTGCTGCCTCCACCCCAGTTTCTGGATCAGGCCTTGGAACACAAGTGTAAATTGGGTTCTGGCTCTGACAGCCCCAGGGTCACCAGGGCTCCCACTAGCAGCTTCTTCACAGGCGTTGGAGGTGAGTGTGAAGGCATCAGCTGCACAGAGAAAGGTTAATGCCAGTTGTAGGGGAGCACACAGAGGTTTTACCCTTTACCCAGCCCCACCCAACCCTAGGACTCACCTTGTCTAGGCGATGGCGACAAATGAGGCCATTGGAATTCAGGTAGAAGGTGGAATAGGCATCGTAGGTCCTGAGGAAGGGAGAGAAGGCTTACTGAGGGAGAAGGTCACTGGTCCCAAAGCTTAATTAAAGCATCTGTTTAAACTAGTAGCTCCTGATCTTTGCTGCATATTAGACTGCCTCGGGAACTTTTAAAAATCTCAATGCTCAGGTTGTACCCTGTTCTAATTAAATCAGATTATTTAGCACTGATATGTTTAAAAGATCCATAGGTGATTATACTATGCAGCAACTCTGGGAACTGCTGGGAACAGCTCTTGGAAACACTCACCTCCGCCTGTGAAGAAGCTGCTAGTGGGAGCCCTAGTGGCCCTGGGTCTGTCAGAGCCAGAACCCAATTTAGACTTGTTTTCCAAGGCCTGATCCAGAAACGGGTGGAGGCAGCAGTGAAGACTTTGCTACGCACAAGTATGCTCAATACTTGCATATACTGTTAGAGGCTGCGCCTAACAATTTCTTGGGATTCTACTCCCAGCCAGAAATTTACCTAAGCTGCTTTTTACCTAAGCTGGTGCGGCTCAGTTTATGAGACAGGAATTTTCCTTTGTTCAGTAAGTATTTGAATACCTACCATGTGCCAGGTAATATACATGAAGAAACTGAAGTTCAGAGGTTTCCTAATATACTCAAAGTCCCTATTATTTTTATTGTATTGAAGTAGACTAAAACAAGATCCCTGTCCTCAAACAGTCTGCAGTGAACTCAGGGTAGGTCAAAGATTGTCTGGAAGACCAGATTATTAATTATCTAAAAGAGTAAGATTAGTGAATTGATTTAGTTTGGCCTCTTTCTAACTTCTCTCTTACCTGTAAAGCTCATGTTTGTCACGCTTGTAGAAGCGCAGAAAGAGCATGTGGATGGGCAGCCCCACAAGACGCCAGCGGGCTTGCAGGGTCCAATTCTCAGGGTGGCGGGTCAGCTGTAGAACCTCCAACTGAAGTTGTGCAAAATAGTTCCAAGCCAAGAAGCGGCAAAGGGTCAGTGACAGAATGTACCATGTCCGGCCCCTGTGAAGAAGGGATGGGAAAGAATCAGAAAATCAAACTGACTACTGTCCAAGGAATGGGGAACAGTTGTGAGAAGCAGTCTGGGACCTTCTCTGGGAAGTAAAAAGGGTCGCGTATACAGCATTGGGTCCTTTTCCTCCCCAAGGCCCTACCTGTGCCCCAATTCTCACTTGGTACGTATGTTCAGGATCTCATTGATGAATTCCACGTCCGATGAATAGAGAGTGTAGTCATGGGAGTGAAGGAAGAGATTGGGAAGCTAAGTGGAAGAAGATGGCATCAACCCAGTGGGAAAGAAAAGGTGATCCAGTTTCTCAGTTTTCTACTTTAGGGCCTCTTTACTCCCCTCTGAGTGAAAGGTCATCTCATCCCATGTTTATTTAACCTCCCTTAATCCAAGCCCAGGAGCATCTTTTCCTCAGGAAAATGTTTATAAGAATCCAGTTGACTAGCCCCTTATTTCCAAGGATTACCTACATCTCTTCCCACTGTAGATTAAAGGCACCTTTGAAATCACTTACCTCTTGTCTCAGTCTCTCATACATGACAGCCAGATGTTCTTCCATACTAGGATCTCCTGAGGGGGTGGCAGGGGAAGGGTGGGCAGTTCCAGGGGCTTGGAAAGGTATCAAAGCCCCAGGATAGGGGCAGGGAGGTCCTTCAAAAAGGCTCCTAAGCCCATCCAGGCAACCGCTGTGCAACTCAGGTCCTGGTCCCTCCTCCCCACTTCCTGGGGGGAGAACTACCCATGGTGAGCTGAGGGCCTGGACCTGAGGGAGAGGTAGTGGGGGAGGCCGGGGAAGATGTTGGATAGGAGGGGGTGGAGGTGGAGGAGCCCAGAAAAGAGGAGAAGATGGGGAAGTGGTGGTTGTGGAGTGGGGCCAAAGGGCTGGGAATGGTAGAGTCCGTGGAGAAAGGTTGTCCTAAAGAGGCAGAACAAAAAGGAAAATGATAAGAATCCAGCTGCCTAATGCCCATTCATCCAAGCTCTGCTCATTAACAGGCTTCCAATCCCACCTACTCCTCCTGACAGAAGAGATGGAATTACTAGAGGAAAAAAGGGATGGATTCATCTCCATCTTTGCAAAAAACAGGAAGAAACAGTTTCAAGTGACACAGGTACAGGTACCGCCCCAAAATATTAGCAAACTCTTTTACATTTGTTTAAGATTCCAACACTGGGGGCAGTTTCACTTCTTTTATAGCAAGAATCATATAAGAATACATATCTGAGGGATGGCCAGTTAGCTCAGTTGGTTAGAGTGCGGTGTTATAACACCAAGGTCAAGAGTTCGAATTCCACATACCGGCCAGCCACCAAAGAAAAAGAAAAGCATATTTGATGAATGAACGAACACATGAATAACAGGTTTTACTGTACTGTAAAATGATATGGCCTGTAACACATCTCCACGATTAAGTGTGAGAGGCAAATTTTGCACAAAAAACATCCAGATGAAGTTAGAATTTGAGTTCCAATTCTATCCTGTAACCTCGAGCACTCTCATTCCCTATGTCTGTTTCCAATAAATGTCGTCCTATAAATGAAGATGATGAAGCCTCACTGGGTTATTATGAGAACTATATGAGATAATGAATGTAAATAAAACTTAGCGACCTGTAAAGTAGTACATAAATGGCTAAATGGAAGCTATTATCATTTCGGGCCCCTCTGATGACACAAACAACCCCAACAGACTGTTAAAGACTGGACTTCATTCTCCTGGGTTTACCACATTGAAACTGCGAGAATGGGAGGTCATTCAAAATCAGGCCTAACCCGAGTCCCTCCGCTCCCAAGGAACCCCCGGCGGAGGGAGGAGTCACTCCGGGAAGGCAGGAGGGCAGCGCGGGTACCTCCGTCCCCGACGGTGTCCCTGAGGCGCAGTCTCTGCTAGGGGCGTGGCTATCTTGCCCGCCCGGGCTCAGGAGCCCGAACCGGGTCCACCCGGGCCGGCATTTTTGCCGGGACCGCTCTCCAGGTGCAGGATGCGCGGACTGCAGAGCGCGGCCCGCGGGTCGGATCGGTGTCGGGGAAGTCAGGGGCCGCACAGCAGCCGGCTGCGAACCTTTCCGCGCCTGCCCTTCAAATCACCTCTAGGCACAGGTAACCGGGAAGACCCGGGCGCAACGCAGACGCGCAACCGCTGACCCGGCCTCGACCTCGCCTGCCCGGCCTCAGACTGGAGAGAACCGACGTCCCCGGGAGCCGGGCCGACCACGCCGCTTTCCCGCCCCCAAGACCCCTAGCCCCTCCACGTGCTGCGGGCACAGGTGGGAAGGGGCGGTGGGTGTCACTGCGCCTGCGCGGAACCCGGCGCGCGCTCCGCCCCACGTACCGGCTCTGAGGAGGGTCTCTCCCCGCCCCCTCTCCTCCTCCGCTCTCACCTGGGGTCGAGCCTGGTAGGCGCGAAGGCAGGGGCCGAGACACCGGACCGCCCCACGACTGGGATGGTACATGATCTTGAGGCAGTGGAAAGAGCGCCTCCCAAGCCCGGCCTCCGGCCTCCTCAGAGGGGCGCGCGCGCCCCAGAGCCGGCTTCGTCAAGGGGAGAGGAGGGAGGGGGGATGGTAAGGGGCTGAGGGGAGGGAAACGGAGATGTTGCGCGCGTGCGCACTGCGTGCCGCAGGGAGGCAGCGGGGGCGCTCTGTCGTAAGAGCGCCTGCGCTCGCCGATCGGAGACTGCCTCAGGGCGCACGCGCAGTAAGTTAACTTCCGAGAACTGCACTCACGTGCGACACTTGCACGAAAAGTTGAGCGAAGAGGGGGCTGAACTGGGTGCAACGACAGAGGTGGGTGGGATTGAAATAATGACAGTAAAGTTTTTAATAGCTCTCGTAATAAAAAAAATACTTTTATTGCTCTGGTTAAAAGATGCAAATGAGTTGCAGCTGATAAGAAAGCCTGTTTGAATGAATGAATGAATGAATTCATTATGAGGGCTGGGCTTTGACTATCTCCAATAGTGAAAGAGAAGTAATACTGATTTTGAAAGTATGTGAGGTCACCAAGGCCTGGTGCTGCGACGTTCCTGCAAGTTTCGAATGAACCTGGCGTTGAACATGTCCCCACCCACTGTCCAGGACTGGGCTGGTGGGGCCTGGGCCTGTAGAGGAACTGTGTGCGTGGGTTCTTCCCCAGACCCATTCTGTGACAAGACCTGCTCCTCACTGGCAGACCTGGTAGGTGGGGAGATGGAAAGTGGGTTATAGGAATACTAAAGTGGGAATTAAGATTACTGACTCTTCAAAGTCTTAGGTGCCAAGTTTTAATGTAGAGGAGGACACATGATGGGTATGAGGCTGGAACCATTAGTGCTATGTCCAAATTTAAAAACCCTCAGAGAATGCCAAAGCACAAGAGTTGAACTTATATATAGGGAAAGAGGCACATAGAAGATTTGCAGGTTGAAGGATATGTGGGAGGAGCTGGTGTCCAGTTCAGAAAGTAAGATTTAGGAGAAGGAAGTAGTTAAGGGGGATGTTAGGAAAGGAGTCAGAAGGGAAGCTGTTAGGAGAGGGATTTAGACCTCACCTATTCTCTGTTTCCTGTTCCCCCTGCTTCAATTCTTGGATGCCTGTGGAAATACCAGGCGTGTGCATGGGAAGGCTGGAGTAGACAGTGAATGTGGCCTGCTTAATTTGAGGTTAAGGAGGAGTGAGTACTTACCTGTATTGAGGGATGAGGGATTCAACCCCCCATGGCGGCTGTAGCAGCAGCTTTGGGCTACCAGCCCAGGGGGAGTCTCCCTGCAGAAGAAATGGGAGATGATGGGGAAGGGGCTACAGGATGCAAGATGGGTAGGTACGGAGGAATTAGAGGAGAGGAATAAAAGGAATAGCACAGGAACAACGAGAAGGGAGTAATTATCATTCCTAAGGGATTCTAATCTAAGCTGTGCCCCAGAAAAGGAGAAGGAGCTCATTTTATACCCAAAGATTTTCTGGAGCAATCCTGGTTCATTGCTTTATTCTATCTAGTTGAGCTAATGTGTTAAATGTATGGCTAAATGTAATCTAAATCATGGCATAAAAACAGACTCACATATATGCAAAAAAATTCGTTGGACCAGGAGCCCTGATGTTTGGTGTGGAAAACATGATTACCTTAAGTATAAGATACCTCAGACTGGAGGAAAATAGGGACTGACAGGCCAAGTTTAGGAGGAAAAGGAAGGGAGCCTTTAGAATAGGGTGCCAGACTGTGTTGGACTCTTGATGGCTTGTCTTGAGAGAGAGACCCAAGGGTTTAGTGCGGCAGGTGTCAGGAAATCAGAGTGGGAAGAGGAATCCAAGGAACAGTTGGGAGGTAATTGGTGGATCTCAAGATGTTGGTAAATCTTGACATCTCAGCAAGGGCTGGCCCAGGGTAAAGGGTAGAAGTCACTAGGGACAGCTGGAGAGAATGGGGGAGTAAATATAGACACCTATACAGAGGGATCCAGTGACTACATGAGACACAGAATTTGAAGAACCAGCAATGAAGACAGGGATGGACAGACACCAGATCCTGGAAGGGGAACTATGAGGCTCCTTAGTAGAAGATCTGCAGACCTCAGAAGTGAGGAAGATGAAGGGGACAGAGGTCCTGAGATCCCAGCAAATAGGGGTCGACGCACAAACGAGGCTGACACCTTAATTTTTTTTTTTGGTGTTTTTTTTGTCATTGAAAATGTCAATGTAGAAAACACAAAGAACTCTCACTTTATTCAGACAACACTGAAAAGAGAAGAAAAGGGAAGGGTGAGTGGGGAGAGGGAGATCCTGCTCCCAAGGATTTGAGGGGACACAGTGGGGGTGGTGGTACCTGATCTACACACATTAGAGGGTAGGGAGGGGAAGGATCTATCTATACCCAACGCATGGAGCAGGGAAGGAGGTTCTTACTATGGAAGAAAGAGAGGAAGGACAGAGGAAGAGTAGTCCCCCATCTCATCTCAAGACAATCTCACAAGACGAATATATCAGCATCTAGCTACAGGGGGGTGGGGTGGGATGGATGTGAGAGAGGATTCCAGGATCTAATAGATCCTTTAGACCCAGGCTTTTCTTAAACATGGCTAAGAGTGATCCCAGGGTGCTTGCTGGGACCTACTGCCAAGAAACAAATTCCCTCAGAGAATCTGGATCTGTGGGAAGTGGTGATGTCACTGAGTCTCCTTTAGAGACCCCAAAGCAACATCAGTTTGGGGGTTCCCTAACACTCAAAACACGTGGAAATTAAGAGTTTGGCAAAATTGAGTGAATCCCTTTGGGGAGCTGGTAAGTCCCTGTCCTACCTAACTGGACTGCTCTGAAACAGAGCTCGCTCATTGGCTAGCATTAGCAGGCTGAAAGTGCAAGTGTGGTAGGCAGCACAAAGCAGTACTGGAACCACTGGTACACGCTGTAGAGGGAAGAAGGGATTTATTCCGTGGAAAAGACTCCTAAAAAGGTTTTCCTGGCAGAGGAGGCCCTTGGACCTTCCATGGTGTTCTAGAGTCTGCCAGCAAGCAAGAGTGTGCTTCTCTATAAAATTAGTATGAGCCACCCGACTAAGGGGTCTGGCAACAGGTCAGGCTGTCTGTGGGGAGAGTGTTCAGAGCCCAAGTTAGGAGAGAGGGGGTGCTTTCTGTGGTAAGAAAAACTATAAAGTATTAGGCCATTTGGGACCCTGACAACCCAGTTGTTCAAAAAAGGAAAGGGAATCTTATGGGCTCTCTCAGGTTCTACTGGGTCCTGGAGGATGCAGTGGAAGAGTGGGTCTGAGGTTCTCAGGGAGTGGGGTCTCTGTCCATCCCCGATCTCCTGGGGAGGGGAGGAGAGGGGAGGAGAGAGCTGGTTGTCAGTATCGACTCTCGTCAGAGCGGGGAAGGGAGCTGTGGAAAGATGTTATGAACGGGAGGAAGGGAGAGGGAAAATGGGGGAGAGAAAAAAACAGAAGTCAGAGGTGAAGAGAAAGCTAAGAACAGAAATAAAGGAGATGCCCACTCCCTGCTGCTGGGATGGGTTCTTGGCACACCAGGCACTAACATGGAGTCAGTAGCTCCCCAGTCTGTGTCAGAGACACTGCCCTTTCCCCAGCAAGTGTTAAACCAAGACTTCCCCAATCTAGGAGGCTCAGTCCCCCCCCCCCCAGTGGATCTGTTTTTCCTACCCTTCCAGGCAACTCTCATATTAAAACTAGTGTCCTGGGGCTTCATGTAAAGCCCTACTCTGCTCCTTCACTGTAATTTTTTTCCAGACCACTTCCCCAAATATTTTTCAATATATTTTTCTTGAAAGTTTTCAGGACTCCCCAATCCACCTATCACCTGTGATACATTCAAATTGCCCTTTGCCTTTTCTGACATCCCCTTTGACAGTCTTGAGGCTCCCTCACCATCCAACTCCTATTACCTGGTGCGGCGACGTTGGGCTGGGCTGCCCCCAGGGTCAGTAGCCAGCAGAAGGCGGGCAGTAGGGTGTGGGGGGCAGAGGCGCAGGGAACGCAGCAGCTCCTGCTCTGGCACAAAGGGGCGGAGAGGACCCCGTTCTGGCGAGTTTCCCAGGCTGCTGGAACGGGGGGTTGGGTGGGCTGGAGGTGTGGCACGGCGAGGGGCTCTGTTTAGGGGCCAAGGAGGCTCCACAGCTACCTTCAGAACTGGGGAGAAGGAGAATGAAGGATAAGGACAGAGAAAGAAGAAAAAGGAGTAGGAAAAAAGAGAATCATAACAGCAAAGATCAGGGTGGAAAAAAGAGAAATCAAAGCCTTTAGAGAAAGCCGACCCTTTTTTCTGAGTCCCCCGAGCATTCTCTTCCCTTATGTTAAGGTCCCCCAGGCCCAGGCACCCTACCCAGCCCCTCTTACATTCTCGATCACTAGAGGAGTATGGCTTAATGTCTCCCTCTACTCTCTTGGGTGGCAGCTTCCTTGCTGGAGCTGGTGGTGGAGGGGAAGGTAAGCATTAGGAGACATTCTTTCCACCCTTCCTCCCAGCCACTACCCCCACAACCCAAACCTCTGCTCCCTGACACCACAGTTCCTCCTGGGAACTCTAATGCACAGGCAGCACTGTGCAATGCCAGCACACCAAAAGGGAATTTGGGGAAAATGCTGGAGTACTTTGAGGAGAGCCAGAAGGAGTAGGCCAAACACAGAGTTAGGGGAGAAAGATCCAAGGGGAGACTCTGGGGCCTGGGAGATGCAGGAGAAGGGTGGCCAAGGGGATGCGAGCTCTTACTGTCAGTGGGCGCTGTCAGGCCCCCCTGGGATTCTGGGGCAGTGGAATGGTCCCAGCTGGGCCAATGAGGACCCTGGGTT